CTTTTAGCATAAAGTTTTGGTGCAGGGCTAGTTAGCCCCTTTGTAGTCTTTTGTTCAGGGGGCAGGGCTAGGAGGGGAGGAGGGGGAAGTTAAAGGGTTCACATGAGGCTGGCCACTAACACTAACCCCTAAAAAAGCCAACTGCTTGCTTTGGCTTGCCAACTGCAAACATATAAGTATGTACAATGAATGGAAATTCAGGAGTTAGGGATATTACACAGGAGAGAAGAAGAAAGAAATGATACTTCTTGTAAGTCATATCACTCACATGAAAGACTGCTCTAGAAAGAAAAAGAAAAACTATACAATTATCCTGTGTTCCCAGGAACCTCTGTCCAAATTGAGGAAAAGAAAATATGTGGAATAATAAGCTACTCTGAGCTTCTTGTGAAGACCCTGTAAGTGGAAAGAAATGGGAAGCTGACTCAATAGAGTACAAAATGGCAGAGCTGTTAAAAAGAATGGGATTGGCAATGATACCCTGGGGCTAATTAAGCTAAAGCTGGGGTGGTAACCCCGCATGCAGACGAGAGAAGAGAATGCTGAAAACTAGAACAGAGCAAGAAGAGGTCCTTTAGCAGATTACTTCATTCAAACGCAGCATTCTTTGTGCTTCCCTCATCACCATTCCTCTGCAAGAAAAGCTAGAAGGTACAACTACAGGGGTATTTAGGAGGTCACAGAATATCTTCCTGCTCCATTTTATCTCTACCATTCCTTCCTTTCCAACTGACAAATGTTTGCTTTAACTGCATAGGTATAATACTAACTATAGCAGTTTAGGTAACCTCTAGTGATTTAAGCCTGGGGGCACAGCTGAACTTTAAAAAAGCATAAATTAACAGCCATCACTTTTCTCCTATAACTCAGAACAGCTTCTTGCCACCTTCTAATTTAAAGTTTCTATTCAAGGCTGGGTGTGCTGGCTCATAACTATAATGCTAGCACGATGGGAGGCCATAGCAGGTAGATTGCCTGAGCTCAGGAGTTGGAAACCAACCTGAGCAAAAGAGAAAAACTAGCCGGGGGTTGCAGTAGGCGCCTATAGTCCCAGCTACTTGGGAGGCTAACGCAAAAGGACTGCTCAAACCTAGGAGTTTGAGGTTGCTGTGTGCTAGGAAGCCATACGACTCAACCCAGAAGCAACAGAGTAAGACTCCTTAGCTGACTATTCCAACTCATGGAAGAACTTTCTGACAGACCCTCTTCTTTGCGATAACTGGAAACTTTCTATATTTTCTCTTTTCCAACTTTTATGTATTAGTTATACCTCAGTGAATTTGTTCTCAATTATTCTTTTGTCCATGGGATTACACATCTCCTCTTAAAATAAGTTCCTGGCTCAGTGCCTGTCGCACAGTGGGTACAGCACCAGCCACAAACACGGAAGGTGGCAGGTTCAAGCCTGGTCCAGGGCAGCTAACCAACAATGGCAACTGTAACAAAAGAAACAGCTGGCATGATGGGTGCCTGTGGTTCCAGTTGCCTAGGAGGCTGAGACAAGATAGTCACTTAAGCCCCAAGAGTTTGAGGTTGCTATGAGCTGTGACGCCACAGCACTCTACTGAGGGTAACATGGTGAAACTCTGTCTCAAAAACAAAACAAAACAAAACTAAGTTCCTTTGTTAAAACTCAATTTAAGACCAGTCAGTGCTAATAATAATCATGATCAAAATATGAGGGTGGTTTTTTGGTCTTCTCGATATATACCTAGCAGAAGAATTATAGGATGAAATGGCAGATCTATTTTTAGTTCTCTAAATGTTTTCCAGATGACTTTCCAAAAGGGATGTATTACTTTGCAATCCCACCAGCAGTGCAGAAGTGTTCCCTTTTCTCCACAACCACACCAGCATCTTTGATTTTGGGGATTTTGGGATATGGGCTAATCTTACTGGTGTTAGATGATATCTCAAAGTAGTTTTGATTTGTATTTCTCTGATGATTAAGGATGGTGAGCATTTTTCTATATATCTGTAGGCCATGTGTCTGTCCTCTTCAGAGAAGTTTCTCTTCAAGTCCCTTGCCCACCCTGAGAGGGGATGACTTGTTCTCTTCTTGCTAATATGTTTGAGTTCTCTGTGGATTCTGGTTATTAAACCTTTGTCGGAGATATAACCAGCAAATATCTTCTCCCATTCTGAGGGCTGTCTATTTGCTTTACTTACTATATTCTTGGAAGTGCAGATGCTTTTTAATTTGATAAGGTCTCAGTAGTGTATTTTTGATGTTGCTTCAATTGCCCGGGGGGTCCTCTTCATAAAATTTTCGCCCAAGCCGATTTCTTTAAGTGTTTTCCCTATACTTTCTTCTAGTATTTTTATAGTTTCATGTCTTAAGTTTAAATCTCTAATCCAGTGAGAGTCAATCTTAGCTAGTGGTGAAAAGTGTGGATAGGAGCATGGCCTACAGATACATGAAAAAATGCTCACCATCCTTAATCATCAGAGAAATGCAAATCAAAACTACTTTGAGATATCATCAAACTCCAGTAAGATTAGCCCATATCACAAAATCCCAAAATCACAGATGCTGGCATGGTTGTAGAGAAAAGGGAACACTTCTACACTGCTGGTGGGATTGCAAACTAATACCTTCCTTTTGGAAAGACATCTGGAGAATACTTAGAGAACTAGAAATAAACCTGCCATTTGATCCTATAATTGCTCTATTAGGTATATATCCAGAAGACCAAAAATCACACTACAACAAAGATATTTGTATCAGAATGTTCATTGCAGCCCAACTCATAATTACTAGGTCATGGAAGAAGCCCAAGTGCCCACTGACCCATGAATGGATCAATAAATTGTGGTACACATACACCATGGAATACTATGCAGCCATAAAGAGAGATGCAGACTTTACCTCGTTCATGTTTACATGGGATGGAGCTGGAAAATATCCTTCTTAGCAAAGTATCTCAAGAATGGAAGAAAAAGTATCCAATGTACTCAATCCTATTATGAAACTAATTTTTAGCTGTCATAGGAAAGCTATAACCCAATTTTAGCCCAAGAATACGGGGAAATGGGAAAGGAGAGAGGGAGGGGAGGAGAGTGAGGAGGATGGGTGGAGGGATGAGGATTGCTGGGATCATGTCTATGATTTACCCTATAAGGGTACATGTCAATCTTTCTAAATGTGGAATATAAATATCTTAACAAAACAACTATGAGAACGACATGAAGGCTATGTTAACCAATTGGATGAAAGTATTTCGAATTGCATATAGAAATAATTCGATAGTTTTACTCCATGACAGTACTAATGTACATAACTATGATTTAATTAAAAAAAAGAAAGAAAAAAAATATGAGGGTAGTAACTTTTAAAGTGAGATTAGGTTTGAAGACCTGTGCCGTAAGTCTCTAAAATTCTTAAAAACACCTAGTTCCCCTTTAGCATGCACATGAACATCCATCTGCCACATATCACCTTTAATTAATCCTCATTCAAGCATGAAAAAAGTATTTCTTATCTAAAGATCCTGATTTTCTGTTTTATTTATTGAGTCCAGCAATACTTTCCACAAGCTTTTATTGAACAATGTGGAAACTTCAACCAAATAAAGCAAGCAAGCTTAGAAACCTAAACATCCTGCCTTTTATCCTTACTATGAAAAGAGAAATTTCCAACTTAAAAGAAATTTCCTGGCTCGGCGCCTGTGGCTCAAGCGGCTAAGGCGCCAGCCACATACACCTAAGGTGGCGGGTTCGAATCCCAGCCCGGGCCCACCAAACAACAATGATGGCTGCAACCAAAAAATAGCCAGGCATTGTGGTGGGCGCCTGTGGTCCCAGATACTTGGGAGGTGGAGGCAGGAGACTCGCTTGAGCCCAGGAGTTGGAGGTTGCTGTGAGCTGGGATGCCACACTCTACCCAGGGGGACAGCTTGAGGGTCCTGTCTCAAAAAAAAAAAAAAAAATTTCCTTACAAACTCTAGTGCCCCTCCTCTCGAAGGGAAAAAAGAGACCTAAACAATTGTTATTTGGAAATGCCAGTTACAATAACTGGATATTAACATTTCTAACATATATATGAGCTAATGAAAAATTACAGTTTAAAAATATCAGCTTTAGAAGTATCAAGCAGCCTCAAATCATTTGGTGATATGAGGAAACCCATGATCAATGAGAATCTTTAAGAAATTTTCCACATGGCTCGGCGCCTATAGCTCAACCGGCTAAGGCGCCAGCCACGTACACCTAAGGTGGCGGGTTCGAATCCCCAGCCCGGACCCGCCAAACAACAATGAC